GTTAGCTGCCATGTGGGTGCTGGGATTCAAACCCAGGTCTTCTGCAAGAACAACCAGTGTTCTTAACTGCTGAGCTATCTCTCCAGCCCCCCCCCCCTTTTTTTTAAAGAGATTATATTCTACCAAATCCTGGAAAAATAAACATGCTTATCCATAGTACAAGTTATGGATGTTATCCTACAGTTACAGAATGAGTTGTTACAGTTCCAAAAGTAATGCTTAATAGTTGAAATTAAAATTTTAGAATGCTAGCAATTTAAGAAAAGCCAGAAGTACATTACCAAGGTTGTCCTGTATCTCAATATTGAAGCTTAGGCTGGCATCAAACTCAAGGCAGTTCTCCAGCTTCAGTTTCCTAAGAGACTGCAAGTGTGAGCCACCAACTTCTGGTAGTAATGTCCTTTGTAGAAAAGGAAAAAATATTGATGACTGGTCCAGGACCTGTTCAGAATCAGTGTTACATTTATTTGTCATGTGTCCTTGTGTCCATTTCCTTTCAACTGATAGGGTTACCCATTACATTACCCTTTAAATTTTTTTATTATTTTTATGTGTATGAGTGTATTGCTTACATGGATGTAAGTGCACTCGTGTTGTGCTATGTTCAGAGATCAGCAAAGGGTGTTGTATTCCCCTGGAATTGAAGTTATGGGCAATTGTTAGTCGCCATGTGGGTATTGGTACTCGGGCCCAGGTCTTACAAGAGCAGCCAGAACTTTTAACCACTGAGCCATCTCTCCAGACCCAACATTGCCCTTTTTAAAGTGTTGGGGAACCCTGCTGTTAGGGTTGTAGTCCTCCATGTCCAGGTAGCTCTAAGGGGCTTGGGGCCATATGGAAGGACGCCCCTTCTCAGCAGGGGGCCTCCTGCTCTCTTCCTGACACTTACCTGGAAAGTGCTGCCAAGCATGGATGCCTGACCTTATTTGGAACATGACCTTTGGCATAGTAACCTGGAGTAAAAACTACCCCAGGTTTTTTCTATATGATAATTAGGCATTGCCTGGTAGTCCGGTAGGTAGTCAGACAGACAGTAGGAGCCTACTGCCACATGTAAATAAAGCATACTATGAGCACCTATCCGCTGAGGCATTGGCTACTGCCTCCACACTATATTTTCCCTAGTTCTCCCACTAAATAAACGGAGCTGTTTCACTGAGTCTGGAGCTGTTTGCATCATTGAACCTGCCTCCCCGGAAGGGCTTTCTTCCGTTAGTGCTCACTGGCCGTCCTGACCCCGCTCGTCACTCCTGCTCCTTTTGTCCTCGTGGACCGGTGGCCAACGACCCACGAGGAGAGGGAGTGACCCCACATTAAAGAAAATGATTTATTTGTTAGGGTTTCTCTTGTTATGTTTTAATGATTCGTAGGGCTACTTCTTCAGCTCTTTATTAGTTTACTTTTTTGTTTCTGCGGTGAGTGACTCACATTTTGAGAGTACAATCTTGTGATTGGGAAGACATAGTGCTTTTTTTTTTTTTATTACTTATTCTACTTAGATATTGTTAGAATGTGTCATAGTTTGCTTCTTTAGCCAAAACTTTAGGGTGTTCATTTAGGACTTACATAAGCCATCAAATTTATTTTTTCTCCCTATAAACATCGTTTTGATAGTATGTTAGGAATTTGGGTGCACTGTTTGTTTGTTTTTTCTTTGTTTAATTTAACTATTGTTTATTGCCTGTGTTTTTATCGTTGACTTAGATGTTTTGTGATTTCCAAATATTAGCTTTCCAAAAATTCTTACTAATTTCCAGTTAAATTAGCTGTGATCAGAAAGGATAGCCTTTTCATTTCAGTCCTGTCAAATTTATTGAAAGTCTTTGTAATTTTCTATACATCGTTGATTTTTGTAAATCTATGTACATTTGAAAACATTTTTCAGCCCTTCAGTTTATTGGGATATGTTTGTATATTAGGTCAGAGTTTGTTTAGATTATCAATTCTAGAGCTTTCAAGCTCTAAGAGAAAGATGTTAAATTTTCTTATTGTAATTGCTTGCCTTCTTAATTCTAACTTTTGCTTCATGTATTTTGAAGTTCCTATTATTTTATGCATTTTTATAATGGTTCTGTAACATTTTTCATCAAATTATTATCTTTGAGATTACAGTAGTCTTTGTTTTAAGGTGTCTTATTTAATTAGCTGTAAACTCTGTGTTTCTTGCATTGTATATCTTGCATCATTTCAACTTTTGTTTTTTGTTTCTCTTTCAGCCTATTCTGATAATTATGTTTTATTCATAGTGTTTGTATGCATTTAGTGTACTTATTAATATAATTATGCTTATCTCTTCATTTTCTGTTTATTTCTTTTGTTTCTGTGTTCTCTTGTGTTTATTTTGAACCATTTGTACTATTTGGATAGGCTTATAATTTAGTTATAATTTGTTAACCTTTATGTATACCTCCCTCTTTGGTTTTTTAATTTTTTTTTAATTTATTTAATTATTATTATTATTTGGTGTGTGTAGATGGCGAATGTGTATGTATGTGGTTTTATGTATGCATGTGTGTACTTGGAGGCCAGAGGTTGATTTCAGGCACTTTGATCCTATATCCGTTTAGCAGAATAGTAATAATAGGTTCACTCCTGGGGCCTCTGAGCTCCCAAACTATGGGATTTGGACTAGTTTTACAGTGCCAAGCATGCGTTTTCTCCTGTGCAGTGAGCCTTAAATCCAGTCAGAAAGCATTTTGTTGTCCCTAAAACATTTGTGTTGCTGTCATACTGATGAGTGTATATTGCCATGCTGATCATTAGTATAATTCACGAGATTCACCTCTGGGTAAGACTGTTGATGACTCCCTGCCCCCAGCAGCCTACGTGGCATCTTCCAGTACTGTTAAGAGCTAGCAAGTAGGGAGGAAGCTTCCTGGTTAGTACCAACTTGATTTCTTTGTGACCTATAACCTAGGGTATCTTCAGCAATAGAGTCTTACCATCAAGGTCTGGTGAGCAGCCAAAAGCAATGACAACAGCCTGTATTTTTTTTTGTGTGGGGACTCTCACCCAAAACTGGAACTCCCTTGACCAACAACTCAAAGGGAGGCATCCCACACCTGACTCTGAGATTTTTTGCTTGGCAACCTGTTGTCTGCAAAAGGAGCATTATCCCCTTGTAGGGAACTCCAATTAAACTCTATTATATGAATATATATATCAACTTAAATAGTAGGTTTAATTATATATAAAACTTAAATAGTAAGTTTCCATATGACTTTTCCAAACATCCTTAGGTATCCTTTTCCCAATACCCTTACCCTTCCATCCCTCTGCCCACCTAACTCTCCGTCCTCATTATTCTTTTTCCATTCATATCATTTGTGTTCTGTCTCCCTCAAGATATTTCTTTCCCCTCCCACCAGTGGTCCCTTTATAGTTTTCTTAGCTTCTAGAAGTACTAAGGTCAGATACTAAAAGCTAAAGATTTAACAGTAAGATCCACAATATGAGTCAGAACATGTGACATTTGTCTTTCTGAATCTAGTCACCTCACTCAGTATAATCCTTTCCATTTCCTTTTTTCATTGCTTCTTAAGCAGTTTTCCCGTGGTGTCTATCAGAACAGTAACTAACTTAGAGCTCAAATTAAGCAGTCATAAAGTACTTTTTCGTGACAACCTGTTTATTTTTATACGCAATTGTAAAGTGCTTAATGTATACTTTCCATTTCATCACACTGTAGTAAAGTGGTGTATATGCATAGATCCAGACTTACTATTGATTAATTTTTATGATCTTACTGAGGGTTAAATGAACCCAGAAAGCTTTGATGCACAGAAGGGTAGTTCATAGGAGAAATAGTTGTTTATGAACAGGTTGAAGTTGTAAGCAGGGTGTGGTGATGCCTGGGAGGTTACAATCAGACTTTGAACTGAAAGTTTAAACATGTTCAGGGATAGAAAATTAAAGTCGCCTCAGATTTCTTCTCTTGTCTGTGTTGATCATTATTTGTTCTTTTGTCTTATGAATATACTTTTATTTATAGTTTGTTTATTTATTTATTCTTCTCATTTTAGACAAGATCTCCAGTCCAAGCTGACTTTGAGATTGCTATGTAGCCAGGGATGACTTTGAATCTCTGATTCCCACCATTGCCTTCACCATGCACGCACGCACGCACGCACGCACAATATCTCTCCTGAATGTTGAGATTATTGGCCTGGGTCACCATGCTGTTTTATGCAGTGTTGGGGATGGAACCCTGGGCTTAATGCATGCAAGGCAAGCACTATACCAAATGACCTTCATCCCCTTTTGCATCATATTTTTTAAAATAAATTTATTTTCAATTATGTTTATGTGTATGGGTATGTGTACATGTGTGCAGGTGCCTCTAGAGGCCACTAGTGTTAGAATCCCCTAGACAGGTGAATGGTGTTTCTTTAGTCTTTCAAGACTGGTGTTTAGAGTTTATTCCATTTTCATCTTTTAATCATTCTGCAAAATAATTTTTTCCTTTAGAAAAAATTATTAGAAATTTAATTTTTTTACTTTAGAAGACAAATTGGAATGTTTGATCTGAGAAGTGTGGTTTTTCACTATTTATAATCCTTATAATGTGCTTTGAAAGTACATATATAAACATTCTGTATTAGAGTGTGGATTGCTCTGAGTTTTAAGTGTCTTTTCTTGTCACCTTAGACAAAGAAACAGCCTTGGTATAACAGCACATTAGCATCAAGACGAAAACGGCTCACTGCTCATTTTGAAGACTTAGAGCAGTGTTATTTTTCTACAAGGATGTCTCGTATCTCAGGTACATGTTCAGGATTTCTCTTAAAGTGTCTGAAAATCATCTTTCAATTCTAGTTGCAAAACACTATATTAGTACTGTGGAGAATCTTAGATGTCTTGAATATTGTTTTCCAGTGATAATTTCTATTCTCTATTTGGGAATTTTTAATATTGATCTAATGAGCTATATAATACAACTTATAAAACAATTGAATATGTAGCTACCAAAATAAGTTTTGTTTAACTACATCCTAGTCAACAAAATAAGCCTTTAAGTGCTCTTCTCTGTGTTAGTAATAAATAGGTAGCAGAAATGGGGTATTATAAATCTAGTAGAGGAAAGCAGTAGGTAGATAATATTCCATGTGATACATTGCTGTTGTATAAATGTACACTATCTGTTGATACAACTGGGTGTGGAAAAGGGTAAAAATGAAGAGACATAAAGGAATGAGTTAGGCAGGGATTTTGAAGAAGTTGTGTTTGGACTGGCCTAGTATGAATTAGCTATAAAAAGTATGAGAATCATTCAGAGTAGAAAAATTAGCACAGGACCACTTGGGAATGATAGGATAACATGCTTTTACTGCTTTAGAGAAACAATAAAATACTCTGTTCTTCAGCCTTTCTCTCAGCATCTTTACTTACTGGTGAAGGAGGAACATTAGTACCAAACCTATAGATGTTTAATAAACTGTAGCCCTGGAGCTGTAGCTGGGGCTGGAGAAAGTGAGTGCTTACTGCTCTCCCAGAAGACCCAGGTTCAGTTCCCAGCACCCACATTGCGTAGCTCAGCACCACCTGTAACTTCAGCTGCAGGGGATCTGATGCCCTCTTCTGGCCTCCATGGGCACCTGCACACACAAATGGCATATACACACAAATAAAAATAAATGCATCTTTAAGAGCTATAATGTGTGTAGAACATAGTGGTATACATTAAGTATTTAACTGATGTTATCATTAGTAGTGTGCCTGTTATAAGTGAAAACCATCAAGAGGGCAGGTGTCTGGTAGTTGAGTGATTATTAAAAATTAGGTCTTGGCTTCCTTTTGAATGAACATCTTTGTTATATCTATGTATTGCTTAGGGTTTTTTTGCTGTTGTTATATTTCTACCAGAATTGGTGGTAGAGGTGAAAAAAATTTTACACAGGCTGAGGATGTAGCATATTTGTTAGAGTATTCCTAGCATACAGAATGATCTGAATTCGATCCCCAGTACTGCATGTGAGGTAACATGGTGTCACATCACCTGAGAGATGGAGTCAGGATAATTAGAAATTCAAGGTCATCCTTGACTGTGTGGGAATATTGAGACCATCCTGATCTGATGAGATTCGCTGTCCTGTGTGTGTGTGTGTGTGTGTGTGTGTGTACAAACACAGCCTTTTTTCTTTGGAAATATAGTGGGAAGTGAAGATTTGTTTGCTTAGCATATTTGATTTGAGATTAATGATGAACAGTTTTTATAGATGAAAAGATTTCATTCATTGTCTATGGTTTAAGTTCTTTATTGAATGTCTGTAGTAGTTTATAAATGTAGACTACACTAGGGAGTGGATAAAGTTAATTGTCTGATACTTATAGTCTAATTGGCAGAAAATTCATGTTGACTCTTTGAAACATTATTTGGTGTTTTGATGCTAAGTACAGTAGACCACGTTAGAGATATTAAAATAGTTTCTCTAAAGGAGCGATAAGAAAGAAGTTTGGGTTAGGTATCATTAATCTTTTAAGTCACTGAAAGCATAGATGTGGTATGAAGTAGTAAAAGTGATCATGAGGTTATTTTGAACTGTGTAGATTTACAGAATAGTAGAGTAATAGGTTCAAACCAGAATGCAAATTACATAGGTTTTTATGTGATAATGTCTGTATTGTACTAAAAGCATGTTGCTACTGGTTTTTAGAAATCTTACATTAAAATTAACTTACTTGGTGCCACATTTATTACTGAATATGAAGTTCTTTTGATAGTAAAGAAGAAACTTATCCAAAATGGAGTACATAATTGATTATGTGTTTTCCACCTTGAACATTTTTTACATTTGTGTAAATGAGAGATGGTTATTAAGAAATTAATGTCCTGGCCTCTATTAAAATTAAAAGAGAATATAGATGATTAAACAATAGAGAGAAAAGAGACATTGAAAATGCTTCTGTAAACTAATCAGAAGTTAGTATGGAGAGATGATAAGCCAATAGATGTATATGGATATTGATCATAAAACAGACACACAAAGTCTTAATTTTTTTATAACCAGCTATGTGAAAACTGGTATACTTTCAGATACGGAAATAACTAGTTTTGTTTCCTTTTAAAAGGTTGAAAGTTTTTATTAAACTGCTTGAGTGATAGCTAGGAGTCCATTTATCCTAAAAATTAAGTATGGATTTTAACAGAATACACATTCTTGAATGCTTCATTATTTACTTTTGAATTGAAGTCAAAAGTGAAAGAATAGATTAACACTAAAACAATTCCTGAGCCAGGCGTGGTGGTGCATGTCTTTAATCCCAGCACTCTGGAGGCAGAGGCAGGAGGATCTCTTGTGAGATCCAGGCCAGACTAGTCTATATAGTGAGTTCCAGGCTAGCTGTGGCTACAGAGAGACCATGTCTCGAAAAGCGCCCCCACCAAAAAAAAAAAAATACAAACAAACAAAAAAAAGAAACATGAGAGAATAATTTACTTTGCTAGTACTTCTTACATCAAATATCTCACAGTAATAGTATTATATATATATAACTACACCATTCTATAGCATAGTTAATGATTTTGGTGGGGTGGTGTATTTTTTTTTTCCTCCCTCAGTTATCTTTATATTCTGTTAAACAGTTGCAGAGTAATTTTTGTGGATCAGGAACTTTATCTCAATAGTGATATTACATGCTAATTAGATTATTCTTTTGCTATTTATAAATAAAAGCACTACTAACTTAGACTTTTAAATGTAGGTTTTAAGATGATGTTGCTCAATGCCAAAATCTTTAAAAATTTGTAAAATTTCATTTACAAAATCTTTGTTTCTTCAAATTATTGTTTATCTTTATTTTAATTGTTAGGTAAATTTCATTATGCCAGTAAAATTTCAAGATAATTTGATATTCCTAATAAAAATTCTTTTGTTTGTATTATAGCATCCTGTAATTTTTTTCACCTTTATACTTCTTGCATTTTAATTTTATGATGCCTACTGTCATTGAAAATAACATTTGAGAAAATGAATCAGGGAGGTTTACGTTGAAAAAACTGTGTGTGTATATGGATGAGGATAGAACAAGGTAGAAATTGTGGAAAGACAGCATTAAAATAACCTTGTTTCAAATTCCGTCTCTAGGAACTTAATATTACATTATTAAGTATAGGAAGTTTTTTATTTTTTCTATTCTTTGGCTAAGCTTGTAAGTCTAGATTTCCAACAGGTTTTTTTTTTTTTTATACTCATGTTTTCAATGTAGGCCTGCCTCTAGATTGAGGAATAGATGAGGTATCATTACTTTATACGTTGCTGTTATCATTTAATCCCCACATGATTTAGCTTTGAATAGTTTACTGAACTGGACTTTGTTTAGTGATCTGTTGGATAGAGTTATCTTTTTCATTTTCCAAGACATTGAAAGCGTTTTTTTTTTCTGAGTGGGGAGGTACTGTCTGGTATAAATGAAACTCATTTCAAAGATTCCATTTACTTGTTTTTGAAAATCAGTAATTTATACATTGCAGTTTTGTATTTCTGTCTGATAATAGGATTCGAAATTATTTTTGACCATAAACATGGCATAAAAATACACCCTTATGAGCGTATTGCTTTAAACCAGTAAATGCCTGCCCATATGTGTACTCTTTCAGCCCATACTGTCAGCATTGGTACTGGAGTTTCATTTTAATAGTGATTTAGCTTTTATTAACTAGAAGTCCTTTGAAATTTTTTTATGCTTTACCTTTGAAATCATTACTAAAAAAAAAAAAAAGAGAGATTGAAAGTTATGTTCTTACTGTCATAGATTACCTTTCAATGAATCAATTCCTAAGACTTTAAAAAAATATTATTTTTATTTTATGTGTATGAGTGTATTGCCTGTGTGTATGTAAGTGCACCTGTGTTGTGCAGTTCTCATGGAGGTCAAAAGAGGGTGCAGGATCCCCTGGAGGTGGAGTTACAAATGGTTGTTGGCTACCATGTGAATGCTGGGAACTGAACCTCTGTCTTCTGCAAGAGCAACCAGTGCTCTTAACTGCTAAGCCATCTCTCCAACCCCAGACTTTTTAAAATTAAAGTTAAAAAATGATCTAATTAATTTGAACATACTAGTCTACTCTAAAATCTAACTGAAATTTTTTATTTTAAAGAAAATTTTAATCTGTGAATATTATTTATTATTTACTTATTTTGTAGTGCAGTTAATTTATTTTATATTATTTTATTTACACAGATGACAGTCGAACTGCAAGCCAGTTAGATGAATTTCAGGAATGCTTGTCAAAGTTTACTCGATACAACTCAGTAAGACCTTTGGCTACATTGTCCTATGCTAGTGACCTCTATAATGGTTCCAGCATAGTCTCTAGGTAAGTGTTCAGTGCACTTCTTAACTATTTTCTTTGTAAAAATATGCAGAAACATTGAATTTGAGAAAACTTATGACCTATCATTAAAATTCTAAATTCTGAAGTTGGATTGCCTTCCAGTTCCTAGTATTGTGGTCTGTGGCAAGTTGTAAATATCTCCAAATTGGGATAATGAATACTTCCCATCTGACATGGAGTTTCAGTTTCTTTTCTTATAATATCAGTGTCTGGTTATAATAACAGAATATGCTCTTTTCATAAGTCCTTCCTCCATTTTTGGAGTTTGTGTAAAATTGGTATATTTTTTTCTTGAACATTATGTATAATTCTCCAGGGAAAATGATCAAAGTACATCATACACATAGTGTCATAATAAATTCATTATTTTGTAAAATTAATATATACTAATAAAAAGACAGGCTGACAAATTTTTAAACTTTGTACTGGAGCTAGGGACATAGCATAGTTGGTAAATCCTTGCCTTGGAAATACAAGGATCTTAGTTAAATATAAGAATCCATATAGTTAAAAGGCCAGGCATGGTGAGACAGAGACAGGTTGAATCTCCAGGGCTTGCTAGCTAGGTTGGCAAGATCCAGGCCAGTAAAAGACTCTTATCTCAAAAGAAAGGTGGACAGTACCTGAGGGATGGCACTGTCTGCCCTTCAACACATATTCACTACACAGACATCATTTTTTTTTTATAATGATGGACATTGTAAAACCACAGAACTATATCACATCTAACCAAGAGCAGTATCTTTGGGGAGCATCAAATTGCTAGTCTGTGTTGAAATTCTCTAAAATGAATAAGGCTTAAAAAGATATTTGGGGGGCTGGAGAGATGGCTCAGCGGTTAAGAGCACTGACTGCTCTTGCAGAGGACCCGGGTTCGATTCCCAGCACCCACATGGCGGCTATGAACCGTCCTTAACTCCAGTTCCAAGGGAATCCAAAGCCCTCTTCTGACCTCCACAGCATTGCACAACATGGGTGCACTCACATACATGCAGGCAATATATTCATAGACATAAAATAAAAAAACAGAAATAAAAATAAAGATATTTTTGAACAGCTCAACAGTTTGACAGGTTGAACTTTTGTTGTTGTTGCTAGGATTGTCATTGAGCTAAACTTCCAACCTTACAAATTTTAACTTGTTCCTTGTAAACTAAAACTTTATATGCTTTTCTTTTTAAAAAATTTCTTCTGGGGCTGGAGAGATGGCTCAGCGGTTAAGAGTACTGACTGCTCTTGCAGAGGACCCAGGTTCAATTCTCAGTACCCACATGGCGGCTATGAACCATCCTTAACTCCAGTTCCAGGGGAATCTGAAGCCCTCTTCTGACCTCCAAGGCATTGCATGATACGTGTGCACTCACGTACATGCAGGCAATGCACTCATACACATAAAATAAAAATAATAAAGTATGTGCTCGCTTCGGCAGCACATATACTAAAATTGGAACGATACAGAGAAGATTAGCAAAAGTAAATAAATAAAAAAAGAGAAAAAGAAAAGAAATAATAAAGTATTTAAAATTTTTTTCTTATTTTTCTTTAATGTTTATGAGTGTATTTGCCTGTGTGTGTGTAAGCACACCTGTGTCATGCAGTGCCTGAGGAGGTCAGAAGAGGGCATCAGATCGCCTTGGAACTGGAATTGCGAACGGTTGTTAGCCACCATGTGGGTGCTGGTAATTGAACCCAGGTCCTCTGCAAAAGCAGTCAGTGCTCCTAACTGCTGAGCCTTCTCTCCAGCCCCACTTTGAATGCTTTTCATGTAAAGGACTCTAGAGTATTTATTTTTGTATATGAAGATTAATTTTGAATTATTAGCCATTAGCTAAAGACGCTATTGCAGGAAATCTTTCTGTGCCTTGTAACTGGTTTTTTAACTCAGTTATGAATAAGACAAAAATCATGCTTTATTTATTTTGGCAATTTTAATTTTTTTTTAGGTACTACATTGAATAAAACGTGAAAATGCAGATTTTGAGATTCATTTAATTTCATGATTAATGTAAAATTTCATTATTTACCTGATGTCTTTGTCAAGTGTATAACCATGCACAAGTAGAGATGATGATTGTACTTGGGAGACTTCATAATATTATTTCAGTGCCCATTTCATACGAAATATTATAGGTAGCTTATAAAATAATGTAGTCTGGAGTAACAAATTGAACATTCCCTGATTTTTTTTATTTGGGGGGGATTTATTTTTATTTTATATATATGGGTATTTTTGCCTACGTGTATGAAAGTGTACTCGTGTTGCACAATGCCTGCAGAGACCAGAAGAATGTATTAAATCCCTTGGAACTGGAGTGATGGTCGGTTGTTAGCCACCATGTGGGTGCTAGGAACCTAACTTGGGTCCTTTGCAAAACTAGCCACTGCTCCTAACCGCTGAGCCATCTCTCTAGCCCCATTATATAAATTCTTATCTACTGTTAAAAATATATGACATATGCTATTAAGTGCTTCAGAAATGTAGTTCAAATACAAAATTCAAAACTGAAAAGTTGGTGCTGGAGAGATGGCTCAGTGGTTAAGAACACTGGCTGTTCTTGCAGAAGACCCGGGTTTGAATCCCACTACCCACATGGCAGCTGACAACTGTCCCTAACTCCAGCTCCAGGGGATCCAACAGCCTCTTCTGTCCTCCATGGGCATTGCACAACATGGGTGCACTTATCTACATTCAGGCAATACATGCATGCACATAAAATAAAAAATAATAAAAATTTTTTTAAATAACCGAAAAGTTTTAATATTGATGTGGAGTGCATATTTTTATCTATATGACTGTACACAAGCTAAAATATTAGTACCCTCTTGTAATGCCAGTTAATGTCCCTGACCATTGTGAATTTATCCTGTATTGTCTTTTCATCTTCACTTTAAAACAAAATTAAAACTTCATTTTCAACATCATATTACAGAAACAATATCTCTATTTAAATAATATGAGATTAGTAATCAGTCTCTTTTAAGACTATGTCCTTCTTAGCATTTCTGAAGCTTCATTTTATTCAATTTAACATATTTATGAATTTTTTAAAATACTGTTTTTGATATCAAAGCATTGTTCATTTTAGAACTGAAACCTTAAGAGAACTAGATAAAATTTCAGACTAGAAATAATACATTCAAAGTTATGTTAGTTACATTAAAATATTTTAATTAAAATCAAATTTTTGAAGTGCATTTGTTGGTCCACTTTGCATACTGAGTGTTCTGGTTTGTTTCTTCATTGCTGTGACAAAACACTCTGACCACTACCAACTTGGGGAGGAAAGGGTTTTATTTAGCTTACATATCCCGGGTCACAGTTCATCCAGGAGCCCAAGGTAGGAACTCAGGGCAGGAACCTGGAGGCAGGAGCTGGAGTACAGGCCATGGAGGAACACTGCTTACTAGCTTGCTCCCCAGGCCCCTGCTCAGCCTGCTTTCTTATGCAACACAGGCCCACCTGCCCAGTGGCACCACCCACAGTAGGCTGGGCCCTTCCACATCACTCATCAAGAAGATGCCCCTCCGGACATGGCCACAGGCCAGTCCAATAGAGGAAATTCCCCAGTTGAGGCTCCCTTAACCCAGGTGTGTCAAGTTGACACTAAAGCTATCCAACACACTAAGCCTCCATTCTTTTTTCTCAATTATGTTGAATTAACATTTCTTAAAAAATATTCAGATTTGGAAATTTGTTAGGTAGGACAGGTAAAGACAAATAGATAGCGAGAAAGGATAATATAGTCCAAGAATGAGGAACTTTGAAACTTTTATACCTTTTTTTTAAACTGATTTCTCATATTGAAACATATTGGTAATAAATTCATTTTTAAGGTCCAGTTTCTTTTCATTAACAGGAAAGTTAATGAATTTCTTTCAGAAAAACGGTTTAAACACCACTGAGACAAATGTTGAATTTGCTTAGAATAAATAATTCTCACTGTAAAATTGCATGAAATACTTGTCATGTTGATTACCTTATTGTAGTAATACTCTTGCTCAGAGGAAAAAATGCTAAACCAGAAAGTCTTTGCTTGTTATAGATTAATGCTGTACCCTTCAGTCCACAAGGTGGCAGCGTTTGTTTACAATCTATGTACTGTTAGATAATTGACAAGATTAGAAATGGATGTCTTAAGTCAGATTCATTATTCTTTAAGAATTTCATAAAATGAATTTTTATCATAATCACCACTTCTCCTTAACTCCTCCTAGACACACCTACATCCTACCCCTGAAAATCCTGTCCTCTTTATTTTTTTTCATTTAATAATATATCAACTCTTTTTTTTTTGTACTGTCCATGTACTTCTTGGATTGGAGCAAGAATTGGACAATGGGTCTATCTACCAGGAGCCATACCCATAAAGTAAACTGACTCTCCCTCCTCCAGAGACCATCATTGTTTATAACTCCTCTGTTAGGGGTGAGGGCTTGTGAATCACTTAAAATGTTGACTGGCTTGATATTGTACAAGTATTATGTAGGCAACAACGACCACTGTTAGTCTTGTCATGCAGAGATCCTGTCATGCCCAGAAGACACTGTTTTTCTCTGATCCTTCCAAACCTCTGGCTCTCATGATCTTTACTTCTCATCTTCCAAAATGGTCACTGACCCTTAAGGAAGTGGGTATGATAGAGATGTTCCTTTTGTGACTGACCTCTCCATAGTCATTATTCTCTGACTGTGAGTTTCTGTATTAAATGAGATCTGAGAGCTGCACTGACCTAAAGGTATAAAGATAAAAATTTGATCTATAGGTATAAAGATACAAATTTTGAAGCTTGATACTATGCCCATTTAGCAAAATAATAGTAGATTCACCTCTGGGGCTTTGATCGCCCCAACCACGGGTTCTTGGTCAGATTGGCAGTACCAAGCATCTATTTCCTTCTGTAGGCTTTCAATCTAGTCAGAAAGTGGTTGGTTATCCCCCATAGCACATATGCCACTATTATTGTACCCATGGGCATATCTTA